TGAAAGGTAATTTATCTTATATAGAATATATTTTGATTATCTCATTATTCTAATTTAAGAGAGTTTTTGAAAAAAAAAATATGTTTAAAACTAACATAAAATCACTTGTAACTGGACATTATTGGTCTCATGCATGCAACTGAGACTGACCTTGAAATAAACCGAATAGCGTTTCACAATTTAAAATACATATAACACTGCTTAAAAAGGTTATGGAAGCGAGCCGTCCTTCTCTCACACGGCCCTCATTAACAACGATCCACCCCGACCTCTCAGGCAGGTGCTACTGTAATTAACTATTGTTTGACTATCAAAAAGTCGGCCGCTGATTAAATGCACTATAAATGCAGAGGAGCACTTTCTGGGCCGCCGTAATTTCAGAGGCAGCGTGCGCACGCTGGGACCCTTTCAGCTCGGCCCCTGCCTCCAGCACGAGCTAAGAGCCTGTTGCCAGTGGTAATCAAAACTCACATGTACAGAAAAGCTTCCCGTGCTTCGGCTCAAGCAGCGCACCTTCCGTTACAAACGTGTTACTTTATGAAATCCGGCCAAAAACGCGCCTTCTCCAGGCAATTGAATGGCATCTCTTTAGTGATTAGAGCCGCAATAATGGGCACCCCTGCTATTAGGGCTCTAAGTCCATTTTATTGCTAATTCATTTATGTGCTGGTTCAGAAAATACTTGACGCAAATCACCTGCTAAGAAGTCATGTTTGTCAAGACGCCGTTGCCATTATGGGCGAGACCTTAAATCAAATCCTGCATAATGACAAAAGGGAACGGGTGGTAAAGCGGCTTATGAGGGCCTGATAAGCATTATTGTGATCAAAGATGAAAATTTACCGACTAATCATCTTTTCTTGTTAATGAAGGCACTTTTACTAAGGTGTGGGTATAGGCAGCAAATCGTGTGCTTTGAGCACCTGGAAAAACCTGTCAAACATACCGGAAATGCACAGCAAAAATCATCTTATTAATATTTCTGTCCTGTTTTCCAGGACAGATATCTAAACATTCTTAAATCAAGACACATTTGCTTGAGAAGCAAAATGACTTAAAGGGACAGTTCATCCAACAAAATTAAAATTGTCATTATTTACAAATTGTTTTAAACCTGAATGAGTTTCGTTCATCGACTGAACACAAAAGAAGATATTTTGAAGAATGTTGGTAACCAAACAGTTGCTGATCCTCAGTGACGTTTGTTTATTTATTTATTTTTTTTAATTTGTTTATTTATTTAGTTTTGTTTTGTTTTAGTTTTAATTAAATTAAATGGTATTTTATTTAATTTTATTATAATTTTGTTTTATTTTTTTATTTTTTTATTTTTTTCCTATGAAAGTCAATGGGGACCACCAACTATTTGCTTCAGAATGTCTTCTTTTGTGTTCAAGAGAAGAAAGAAACTCATACAAGGTTTAGAACAACTTGAGGGTGAGTAAATGATGACAGAAATTA